TCCATTATTACTAGATTTACAATTCTTTTTTTTGGTAGAATCTTGAAATTAATAAACAAAAATAAATCCATTATAATTTACAATTAAATAAAATTAATTCAGAAAGAGAACTTTTATTCACTAATAATACCTTTTCACTATTAAACCTTTCTTTTTCTTGTTGATAGTTAACTTCTATATCAGGAGTTTATTTAAAATTAGCACCATTCTCCTCTTGATATATTTTGTATCTTTGTAATACTCCAAATTCTCTTTCAACTCCAAAATAATTAGCTGCAGGAAAGTTTTGACTAAAATCACTTTAATTTTATTGTAAATAATAATTAGGCGCAACTAAATTTTACTTTAGTAGTAAAGGGTATTGATATACTGTTCAAAAATCTTAGAATATTCAGGTGAAAGATAGAAATTTCTACCAGTTCTAATAAGCCCAAGTAATGTGTTATTCTTATAGGATAAATTTATTTGAAGATTCTTTGAAGAATCTTTCAAAAATTCTATTAGTAAAGAAAGTAAAAATGCATTAGCGAATGTGTTTTACATAGACCTTTAAATACTTTAATTTATCAGCTTAATCAAAACAATCTACGTTTTTTGGTAGTTCATAAAGATTTTTTTTTACGATGTAGCACTGCCAATAACTTTATTAAATTTATACAAAGAAATACAAAGTAAATCAAATAAATCTAGACTAAGTACTAGCTATCCCTGTAGTTATATTAAAAACCCATTTGAATTAACTGATCATCATCTTCCCTCTCTAACAAATCCACTAAGTTTATTTCTAATGAAAATTGCTATTAATAAGAGAAGAAAAAGAAAGTGTCAATACCTATCTAAAAATCCGAAAAGGTGTAGCTGAATTTATTCACCATGTGTATTCAAAATTCCCAATTAAATGTAGGACTTAATGTCTCTTCGTGTTTTAAGAATGAACTGGCATCTCGTTTAGCCTTATCTTTGATTGTGATACCTAATTAACGTTCTTTTGCTATCATTAAATTGCAACAATGTTTCCAAACATCCTCGAATAATTTTTGTTAAAAAACTATTAAGGTTTGAGTGATGGTTGAGAAACATAAACCCTTATTTCTGGTGATTCGTTGAACTATGTCTATTAAAGAAGAAGGAATGAGAGAATGAACAATATTGATGTAACCATCTGTTTTAGAAGAGGGGTGGCAAAGATGTCGTTTAGAACATCTAGTAATTCTGAAAGAAACTCAGTGAGTTTGGAGATGTTCAATTCTGTGAGGCGATAGATTAAATCATCTTTGGTTGTTTGAATAACATTTTGTAATCTTGTAGCATAGGCAGGGCAGGTCCAGAGATGTTCGGAAGTTTCTGTACCCAGTCCACAGCCTATACAACACCAATGTTCATACAAATCCGGTCGTAGTATAGCTAATATTGATAGGGTTGGTAGTTCATTGACAAAATATTTTATGTTGAAGGTCTTGAGTTTACAAGAGGCAAATGAGGTAGTGAGTGATGAT